TGGCGAATTGCCCATCTCTCCGGAACCAGCAACTGACTATAGTTTTTTAGTATTTTTTACCGTCGTTCAGCAATTCCAGAACGATCTAACATTTTCATGGCATGTGAGAATACACTGTTTCATTTTATTAAACACCTTTGTTCATTCCAAGGATAAATTCGGAGGACAACATTTTTTTTAGGTAACTTCTGGGGAGGATCAAAGCGATCCCTCACCTGCACTTCATTCCACAGATGCCGGTGAACTGGTTGGTGGAAGGGCAAGCCCCAAATCCAAAATAAATTGTTTAGCTGTTGAGATGGTAGGAATAATTACATGATAAAGGAATTCTCCAATTCAAAGCTAGGGAAGCGTTTTTCTTGGGATCTGAGCCAGGTACCAAGAGCTGACTGAATCTCTCGTAAGCTAGGGAGGCCCAACATAAAACATATTAGGACTGTTTCTTCTTTTTTTTTGTCTCTTGAACTTGCTTCCCTCTTGTATGCTTCCTGTGCTCTCTTTGTTGCTTTTAATATATATATATATTCCTCCTGTAGTCCTGTTCTTTAAAAAACATATTAGGACTGTTTTTGGTGTTCTACCTGCGAATTAATAGCATTTGACACAATACTCCCCCCTCACCTTTTTTTTTTGTTTATATAGATTTGTCCAAGCCAGGTGATAGGGTGGAGTTTGTGCCAAAGGAGGAGGACGTTGAGTCAGATGAAATACCCCTGCGGGACCTGTATGAGCGCTGGTGTAAGGCTTTTAACCAGAAGCGTGAGCCTGATGAGATGGCTCGCCGGTTCAACAAGTTCAAGAACAGGGTGCTGTGTATTCACAGTATGAACAAGGCTAATCAGTCATGCAAGGTGGGACTAATCAAGTTCTCTTCGATGGAAAGCTAGCGGAGATGTGCCAATCGTGATCCGCATGGTCGTATGTGCTTGTACTTGAAGTTTCCAAATTCATGTCTTCTTTGGAAAGGTGATGGCAAATTTCGAAGCAAGTCTTTGCTGATTTTGCTGTGGTTAATGGAAAACTTTTTGTGTACTTTCCTTTGAGAAGGGGACACGCGTCGCAGATAAGAAGGAAATCTCTACTGAGTATGAAGTTGTTTATGGCAGATTGTTTGTTGCAGATCTACCTGAGGGACGTGAGCTGTTAGTCCCAAATGATGAGTTCATCAAGCGCCGCTGGATCCCATACCTCCCCTGAATACCTATTTAGCTGTACGGTGGCTATCCTTGTGTGCTCCTTTACCAAGTAGTTGTCCTCTGCTAAGGAATGCATATGTTAGACTGGGTCTTTTGTCCAATAATGCATATGCGAGGCCCTGTTTGGATGGGGAAGAATCACAAAGGATTTTCAAAGGAATGCATTCCTATGGAAAGTTTTTGAAAGATTGCTGTTTGAAATGGAGGAAAGATACATCTCATTCCAAAGGAAAGGATTCCTATGTTGTACAAAACGAGGGAAAAAACCATCCACTCAAACTTAATGGAAATCTAATGGTTTGTTTGGTCTATTTCGCTTCGGTTAGCTCATCGACGGTCACTGCTGGGCTATGCTTCACACGCCCAGAGCTCGGGATGATAAAAAAAAGTAGAAACATATAGGAGAGAGAACGGTCAAGGAAAGAGATTACTATGCTTATAGATGAATTAAAAATAATATCCTAAATGACTTGAAAAGCTGATAAACCAGGTTAGGATGGATCAATGGTTATAATCGTTGTTTAGAGACATGTGATGATCTAAACCTATTCATGTAATCCAAACGGCTCAAAGTATATATTCCTCAAGTTTTTAAATACTATAGTTTTCCACCTTTTACTCTATCATATTCCTGTGTTTTTTCCCTTTTCTCTGTTTTGCATTCCTTTGTTCCAAACAGGCCCGTAGTAGTGCTTTCGCAAGGCATGCATCTATGTAAGAAATCATGCTTCTGTGTAAGTTATGCATATACAAACTATGCTTCTGTATAAGATATTAAGTTTGTTGAAGGAGTTATAATACTTCCAGATTCACCCATGCTAACTGGTTAGAGTTTTTCCCTTACCACCGATGTGCTCATACTTAGAAATCGTGGGGCACGGTAATGCGCCATGTTGATCCAGCGAGTCATGATTGTGTGGGGACCCAACAGCTTTTGTGTGTAATGGAGAACTGTCAATGATTTCTGAAGAAAAAAGATTTCAACCAAAATGCAGTGCCTTATCTATATCTTTGTATTTATTTATTGTTGCATACACTAGAGTAGAGGAATCTGGGTTGCAATCCTGATTTGGAACCCCTTTAGTCCCGATTGCCCGCTTAAGTTTGCGAATCCCGAACTAAAAGCCCCCTAGTCCCGGTTCTAGCACTACCGGATACAGGAGCTTTGCCGGGGGCACTAAGAAAGCCAAAAAACTCGAAACGACACTCTGCAAATAGTTTACCATCTAAACATTGTTTTGCTTGAGAGTGTTTTGTCGGCACTTCAGCGAAGACTTTGTCGAGTGCCCCAAAAAACTTTCGGCAAACATTTTTGAAAAATAAAAGCATCAGCCACCGGACGCCACCATCGGGCTCCCTCGCTCCGCCTCCATCCATGCCTCCATCCGCTACCGCCACCGAGTAGCGAGGAGAGGGGAGGCGCCATTGCGGCCGAAGCGACGGCGAAGGGCCGCCTTCCCCGCTTCCGGATCCGCGACCACCTTCTTGCGCTTTGGATCCACGCCCGGCTTGCGGCCGAGCGAGGGAGGGAGCCGGATTCGCCACCCCGCCGCACGGCTGGTGCAGGCCGCCGCCTTTTCGGAGTGTGAGGCACTGAGGGGCCGGCCGCCTCGATCCCTGTCGCGAGAGACAGTACACCATGAGACCCGGTGCTTGTTCGGCCACCGCCTCCGCCAGCCGCCACTGCGGATCTCGAGCACTTGGCGAGGGGGAGAGAGTTACGCACGCCACGCCATGGATCCGGAGCATCGCTAGGGTGAGAGGTGCAGTGCTGCGGGTTACACGCCACGCCACGCCAGTGTTGTGTTCGCAGAACGCTGGTGCACCCCTCCACCACCGCCTAGGGTGCGCTTGCAGAGGCCCCTCCCCGGATCTGCCATTGGGGAGGGAGGAGGGAGGCTTGCACCGGCCGCCGGATGTCATGGGTGGGAGGCAGCGCCTGAGAAGAAGGGAGGGGAAGAGGGAGGCCCAATCCGTGTGAAGAAGGGAGGAGGGGAGGAGGGGCCGATCCCACGGGAAGAAGAAGGGACGGAGGGAGGGGCCGTCCGTAAGCAGGGAAGAAGAAAGGGAAGGTGGGGCCAGCGTCGGGGAAGAAGGTAGGGAGGGGAGCGGATGAGGGGGCCTGGATGCGAGGCTGGAGTGGAGGAAGAGGCGGGGACGGGAGAGGAGGGGAGGGAGGTGCAGTCGCGGAGAGAGAAGGCGCCTGGGGCCGGAGGAGAGAGAAGTGGGTGGGACCGGGAGGGCGGTGGGGCTTTGAGGGACGGTTAGGTTAAGTAGGTATTTTTTGGTTTGCCGAGTGTCCCAGATGGGGCACTCGGCAAAGTTTTTTTCAACTTTTTTTTTCTTCTCCTACTTTTTTTTGCCATAGTGTTTTAGATCTAAGCACTCGGCAAAGTTTTTTTTTTCATTTTTTTTCTTCTCCTTTTCCAGAAAAATATTTTATTTCTTTGCCGAGTGTATTTTTTTTAGCACTCGGCAAACAACCTCTTTGTCGAAAGTGTTTTTTGTTTTGACACTCGGCAAAACGCTTTATTTGCCGAAAGTGTTTTTTTTTGCCGAGTGTTTTTAGCGCGGCACTCGGCAAAGAACTTGTTCACCGAGTGCCCGAGGGAATACACTCGGCAAACATAAAAACACTCGGTAAATTTGAGGATTCCGATAGTGTAGTGTAACTGGATCGAAAGTTGACCTTTTAGTCCCGGTTGCTATTATCAACCGGGACTAAATGGCCCCCAAATATTGCAACCGAGTTAAAGACGCTTTAGTCCCGGTTGGTGTTTTCAACCGGTATTAAAGGTTCCTTTATTTTTTTCCATTTCATTCCTTTTCATTTTATGGTTTTTTTCAATTCAATTCTTTTTGTTTCAATTAGCTTTTGGTATACGAATTCTACGCTGTTAATATACGTCCTTATATACGTACGTATAAGGTTCCGTTCGAGCATTATACATAAATAACACATGAAAATATATGAAACCATATGTATACAAATATGCATGCATGAAATATGTACATATATAATAAAGTCACAAATGTACTCATGTTATTGGGATTTCTTGCAACCCTAATCTTCCTCCGTTGTTTGGCTACTAGGTATAAATTCTTTAGGATCATAGTAGTATGCGCCCTTGGGATCTATGACCTGCTCCAAAAGAAATAATGACAATGCCTCTTGAATTGCTTTGATCTGGTCACATCGCAGGACCTTTCGCTTCCTCCATTCAATCTTCAATTCGAATGAAAGCAAAAGTATGAATATATATATGATTATATATATCAACACAATGGTAATAAATAAATTGTGTATATTTTTTACGTACTTCGAGGATCTCTTCACTTGTTCTCCTTGAGTACTCCATGAGGAACTCACAGACGTAGTATCCATATAAGTTGTTCCCCGATCCCCTGCTGCAGACACCACTTTAATAATGAATTGAATTAAATAAAGATGTGGTGACCTAGATAGTAGTTACTAGGTATTAGACTATATGCGAGAGGCACTTTCCAATTACCATAATGGTGTTTCTAACGTTTTCCAAGCACTGCTCAACAAAATAAATAAATGGAATTATATCATTAAAATGGCATAAAAGAGTATACAGTGTGTGCGAGACCGAAATTACCACTCGAGTATATCGAGGATTTCTAAGTAATCTTCTCGGGGTTTTGTCGCTGAGTCAAAGATTTTTACATGACTCTTGGTCATATCGATGACCAATGTGAGATCCAAAGGAAAGCTACATGTTTATACGTGAGGCATAACTCATTAACTAAAGTCAACATGGAGTAAGCAAAATAAAATGGGCACAAGACATTCACACTCACTTAAAGTCTGTATGGGAAGAGTATCGTTGTCTTGTAAGCGCTCTTATCTAAGAACACTCAGTGAAGCTTCTCCACTTGAGGTCGCCATTTATCATATGGAGTAACCCCGTCTAAATACGTGATTTGGATCAATGAAACCAACCTCGGCCATCGCTTTTTCTTTAGTTTTAGCATCTCATATCTGCGTGATATATATATAGTACAATATATACAAAGTGTGAGGATAACTATATATGAACAACGAACTAACATGCAAGTTACTTCAATTCAATTGTAGAAAGAATCACTTTGAGACACCAACAAATTGACGAGAGATTTGTCGAGAGCGCCCCGCCTTTAATAGTTGGTGTACTTCATTGAACTCAATATGTACAACGTCATAGCCCAAGTAATGCTAACGGTCTCACTACGCAACAAGCCATGTTGCTTCGTCATTCTCGGTCACTTTTTAAGTACCACTTGTTCAACAAGAACATCTGCATACCTAGTGATGAGTAGTACTTAGGGTTGACAAGACTTTGGCCATACACATAGGTCCCGTAAATATCATAGTCGTCCGGCCAGTATCGATGCTCCCCATGAGTTGTTCAAATTTGTGAGACCTGTGGTGGCCATGAAGTCTTGCGGCTCTCCTTATCTATTGGACCACACGGTGCGTTTGTGAAATCACCCTCAACAACTAGCGGGTTGATAGATTGCTTAGATTGCTACCCGAGCTATGCAACATCTTTCCCTGCTCTCTTCGCTTTCAGTGACGCCTTATATGACTTGTCCAGAGAGCGTTCATAGTCAGATAATGGTGAGGGCTTATGTGCCTCACAACGCTTGCTTTTTCTCGGCGCTTTATTGATTTTTCCTTAGTTCTTGTTGAGCTATGTAGTGCGGCTTTTAATGTGTTTTCTCAAGTTCCAACCTCCTCGCTCTTGATTCTCGCTAAACCTTGCTTCCGATTAATCAAATCTTTTATGCCACCGCTTTTGATTCTCTTCTTGATCGCTCGTAAGTTAGCTTCTCTAGAGGGGGCTTTGCTTTTCTGATCACTGGCTTTCTTCTTCACCGGGGACTTCACCGGGGGCCGGGGCCTCTTTTGGCTCTGCGGCGCGGGAGGCGGAGGTGGGGGAGACGGCCTTGGAGGAGATGGAGATGGAGATGCAGCCGTGCCATGGAACACATCAT